CTGGTTTGTGTGTTCTCCAACACAACTCTCACAACGCTTCTCTGAACGTACTCGCTCTCCCAACGGGGAGCTTGCCTATCATTTCCTATAAGGTTAAGTGACTTCCCCACTGTGAATGAAGGCCACACTTTCACTAAAATGCATTGACTCCAAAGAACAAGCAATGACTGGTGATATAGTATCTCCAGAGTTGAAGAGGACAACATTTCTAGCTCTTTCACCCAGGGTGGATTTTTTTTTTGTAAAAAGTTTTTTATTTTCCATTTCAACTTCATTCTTAATATACTGTACATTCTTATAATTGTTATTTAACATATGTCAATTCATATCATTTCCCCGCCTGTATATTTACATTTTGATATTTTCTTATTTCTCCTCCCGCTATATTATTCATCTGAGATACTTATTTCTTGCTTTGTTCTTTTTTCTTTCTATTTATTTCTATTTCAAGCCACTCATAAAATTGCCCCCATGTCCTGTAGCCCACGGATTCCTCTTTGTCCTTTATTCTCAATGTCAACCTATTGAATGGGTTGACACTCAAGGTGGATTTGATTTAAATCAAGTCGATTTAAACCGTAATTTTTAAAGGGCAACTGTCGTCTCTGTCCCGACACTTTAATGGGACGGCTGGAGATGAGGCAGTGAACACAACAAGGTGAGGGACGTGGCAGGCAGCAGTTGAATCAATGCCTGCTAACGGGCACTGCCATGATGGATGTGAAATGACAGGTGCTCTTTAAATGTAAGGACTGGTAGTTAGAATCTGTAATATTATTATTTGCAGACAAAAGGAAGGTTTCCTATTTAGCTTGCAGAGCTGGGATTCATTGACTGGGTTTACCAAAAAGGTAAATATTGCAGAATACACAGCCTCGTGCTACATAACTAAGCTCCCTTTCAGTCTGAATGCTGAAATTATCAATGGGTCCTAGATAGAAAACTATCTTTAGATAGATTTTTACTCCAAAAGCACTTCATTAAAATAAGTTTGATTTAAAAAAAACTGATTTAAAATTGTTTTGATATTTTTTTTTAAAAAATGATTTTTGTCCACCCCTTATTTTAGAGAAACACGTGCCATTAAAAACCCATCATTTTTGCAAAGATGATATGGGGCACCCATCACTCACCTCTTCAGTGCCGTTGTAACTAAATGAACTGTTGTAAAGGGAGGACTACCTGTAAACCATAGATAAGATGGTTTGCACTCACCTTTCTCAAATGAAGGAGACCTCAGCATCTCTGTGGCTATAGCATAAACCAACCTTATTTGAAAGCCCCATTATGTCAAACTAGAGTCTCTCTCTACGAAATAATAGGCAAAATGAATTTATCATGTAGAGTTTTCTTTCTGTACTAGTCGGTTGTATACTTGGGCTTCACTACAGAAGTATGTGATCGGGCTTGATAAATTGGCAGTTAAAGCTTGAACATTAATAAGTAGTTACAATCGGCCTTTCCTCTCCCCTTCTCTCCCTCAGGCTTGCCCCACAGAAGCCTCTTCTCTCCCATCCCCCCCTCTATAACCTCAGGCTAGCCCCATTAATCCTCTATCCCCTTCTCTTCCTCCAGCCTGCCACACAGAGGCCTCTCCTATCTTATCCCCTTCTCTCCCCCAGGCTGGCCCCATTGATCCTCTCCTATCCCCTTCTCTCCCTCAGTCTAACTCCTTAGCATCAGAGCATCAGGTGGGGAGTGGGGAATAGGATGTGTAAACTCCCAGCCCGCAGGCAGGGTGAGTTACACACTGGCCACACCCACATCCAAGTGGCAGTTGGAACAGACTTCTTTTCAGGCGGGGAGGGGGAGTAGAATGTCTAACTTCTTAGCATCAGAGCGTGTTAATAATGATATAATAAATACTAATGATCTGATGGTCATTTCAAAAAGTACTTTTTTTAGCAAGCACCTAGAAACCAAGAGGAACATATGTGCCAAATTTCACGTTTGTAGGCTTTATAGTTCTGGAGTTTTCGTGATAATGCGTGAATGGTATTTCACTTTTATATCTATAGATTACATTTGGCTTACCCTATTTTTTTCAGCTGCCCAAAGCAGAAGCTTATCTGGGCTGTTTGCCAACTTTTTCTCTTGAGCCTGGTACCATTCCTCCGTTTTTTCTTCCTGGTCTTCCTCATCAGAGTCTCCAGACCAGAGACTCTGTGTTCCTCTAGGAATGAGATGCCGGTGGGTTTCCAGTAGCTCAAGCTGGTTAAAGCTGTCAGCAAAGTCTTTTCCCTCCTCATCTGTGTTATTGTTGTCTGTTGACGTGATGTCTTCATTCATTTTGCAGGCTTTGATTGGCCCGTCCCTAAACAGCAGAAGACTTCCACTTCTATTTTCCTAACTCATATCCCGAATGCCTTGCCAATCAAATTTGGTAATGAAAGCTACTGGCAGCAACATCACCACCATCTTAAAAAAAAAAAAAGAAAATGAAAGAAATGGAATATTATTATTGGGAGAAAGAGGATGACATTTGCTGCATCGTCAACAGCATCTCAAAAGTGTCAATTGAAAAAAGCTATCTTATTGCTTCCTTGGCACTATCAGACAAGAAACATGAAGGCCCTTTTGTAACCCTCCAAAATCATTTTGGAATTCAATAAAAACCCAAATTCTTGTTTCTTTCTATTTCTAGAAAGAATGAGCAGAGCCAGCATTCAAAAGGTTGCATTACTTTAATCCTCTCAGTTCCACATCCAAAAATGAAATTGTTCATAATGCCCTAGATCAGGTGTATCCATAACCTGGACATAGTTTGCAGCCCCACAAGATTGTAAAATTTTAACATTATTATGTGACAAGTGGCTGTCTAATATCTTCTTAAAAACTTCCAAGTGTTGGAGCATTCACAACTTCTGGAGGCAAGTTGTTCCACTGATTAATTCTTCTAACTGTCAGAAAATTTCTAGTTCTAAGTTGCTTCTCTCCTTTATTAGTTTCCACTCATTGCTTCTTGTCCTGCTTTTAAGGTGCTTTGGAGAATAGTTTGACTTCGTCTTCTTTGTGGCAACCCCTGAGATATTGGAACACTGCTATCATGTCTCCCCTTGTCTTTTTTTTTTCATCAGACTAGACATACCAATTCCAGCAACCATTGTTTATATGTTTTAGCTTCCAGTCTGCTAATCATCTTTGTTGCTCTTCTCTGCACTCTTTCCAGAATCTCCACATCTTTTTTTTACTTTGTGGCAACCTCTATCCCAGCCCCCTCCTCGAGCCCCCTAATGCCATTCCAGACAAACAGTGGTCCATAAATCTCTTCTTTAAAAACCCAACCTCAGTCCCAACTCTCGTGGGGCAGGATTCAAACCACTCGATAATAACCCAAGTAAACAGCCCTACCTTATAGAATAGGAATAGAATAGAATTAGAGTAGAATAGAATAGAATAGAAATAATAGAGAGTAGGATAGAATACAGAACAGAACAGAATACAGAATAGAATAGAATACAGAACAGAACAGGATAGAATAGGATACAGAATAGAAGAGAATAGAAGAGAATAGAAGAGAAAATAATAGAATACAGAATAGAATAGAATAGGATTCAAACCACCCCATAATAACCCAAGTAAACAGCCCTACCTTATAGAATAGGAATAGAATAGAATTAGAGTAGAATAGAATAGAATAGAAATAATAGAGAGTAGGATAGAATACAGAACAGAACAGAATACAGAATAGAATAGAATACAGAACAGAACAGGATAGAATAGGATACAGAATAGAAGAGAATAGAAGAGAAAATAATAGAATACAGAATAGAATAGAATAGGATTCAAACCACCCCATAATAACCCAAGTAAACAGCCCTACCTTATAGAATAGGAATAGAATAGAATTAGAGTAGAATAGAATACAGAACAGAATAGAGTAGAATAGAATAGAATA